GAGATGCCACCTGACTTTTAAGTACACAGAAAACAGTGAACAAATGGCAGTTAAGATGTCATTTAGATGTCTTTCAATTTAGTTTTTCATCCTCTATCTAGCAGTGGTCGAATGAATCTTATCTACTGTTTTAGTCAAGAGAAATAATTAATTAGACTAGTTGGATGGGGCAGCAAGATGATGATGATAGAAAAAGAATTTTTCTCACCCGTTTTTTTACTTTTTAGTGCTCGGGAATGACAGAGAATAATAGAAACATGACTTATCTAATAAACTCGGTCATTGGAAATGACAAAATCCGAGTGGGCGAAGTCGCCCACGACTTTCATCTTTTCATATACCGTTTAAAAAAATATCATAAACATATAGAAAACACTTAGGTACGAGATAAAGAATTATGCTAAGAAAAAATTCACAGAGAATCTGTCAGTAAATTCTAAAAGTATCTTGAATCGCACACAAGTATTTATAAACTAGTTTTTCAGTAAAATCTCAAATTTATTATGTCCTTCGAATGATCATTTAGAAAAGTTTAGAGTTTACAATGGAGAACAAATTGAAAATATTTTTAATTACGTAATAATGGCATTGAAGAAGTAAAAACAAGTACGATATGACACAGGGACATATCAGGCAGCACAATAGAATATTCACTTAATTGGTGAAACTTATGTGCTAAAGGTGCAGTAAAATGGCTGATATTGTGTTAGGGCGACAATTACATTCGTCTCACTAACGGAATCTCAATTATTAAATAATTATCTTGCGATACATGTGATACAATCCTGTTTGTATCAATACCGTCTGGTAATTTTATACTTTGGCTAAAACCTTTTTGTGCATCGTACACTTGATTATTATTAGTAGAATCTTTTCCATTACATTTTTGTCCTTGCACTGATAATGTGTTATCAAATAATTTTAAACTTAAATCTGGTACATCATAACCTTTTACATCCAATTTTAATATTAATGTTTTACCATTTGGCGTAAAAGTGGGCGAAAATTTCGATTGAAGAAATTCAGCGATGTTGAACAGCTTCGAATCTTTGTAATGATGTGAATTTTGATTTTGTTGAAAACGTCTAGCAGATGTATTAGAATGCCGATCAGTCTGATGATGAACGTTATTAATACCATGACGAAATTCACCAATATCAATTGAACTGTCACTCCTCATTGGTTTTGTTGAATAGTCATTGTAATCACGTTTATTCGTTGATGTTGGAACAGATCGTGTTAGACCAGTACCTCCAATATTTCCCTGAGATGATGATCTCTGAGCGATAATTGTTGATTGTTCAGCTCTTTTGGCGTCATATTTACCAAATAATTGTTCATGAGAACGTCTAATTGCCTCCTGATCTCGTAACATTGGAATATCAATTGTCAACACACCTGTTTCTCTAATGATGGATTGTATTCTATCAACATCGGCTCCCTCTGGTATAGGAAATGTTTTTACCAATTCTTTTCGAAAAAAATTATCTGCGGCATATTGATCAAGATGCAGAGCATGTACTAATAGGGTATTATCACGTCTCAATTTCACTGATACTTCACCTTTGGCAAATTCCGATACAACAACTTCAATTCGTGTACACTCTGGTGTAGGTTGTATAGCTGGATCATTCATTGACAAATAACCGCCGTTTGAGTAAGTATTATTCATATAATGATGATAAGGCGACGCACGAATAGACTTATTTGGATATGGGGTATCTAATACTGAAGCACTACGTTGAATCCGCAATTCTTGCATAGAAGCAGACTTAGTTTTCGATGATTCGGCAGTAGAGAACCTTGAAATAAAAATAAAAATCTTTGTTAAAGTTTCCAGTGAGATCTTGAATATATGTTAAAAAAAATTCTTTATTTTCTTATCAATATTGAAGAATATATGCCATAACAGATAGCATTCGTCTCGATATCACTCTGGAAAAAAAATAATAATTTTAACAATTCCACTAGACAGTAGAGCAGCGGCGAGTAAATGTATGTGAAAATGTGGCTGAGTTTTTACATATAGTTAAATTAAATCAAATGCCAAAAAAATCTCAATCATGTGATAAATAGTGTAGCGTATTGTAATATTATAGTAAATGTTAACGTTCATACTCTCTTTATATTTACTATCATCCTATTCGAAACAAATTGTATGTCTATATTGAATAAATAGGTTTTTTACTTATCAATAATAAAGAGTTATCCAATAAAACTAAGAGAAAATTATATTTTCTCAAAAATATTCATGGAATGAAACCTAATATTCTTTATTGTATATTTCTTCTCAATAACAATAATTATCTTTCATGATACTTTGTCTTTTCATTTAATATCTTATTTTTATTCCATATATTATAGAAAAGATCAATGTTTCATGTTTAAAATTATTTTGATATACATAATATATATATCATAGAATGACGAACAAAAATTCGAAAACGCACAATATATGCAACACTCTACTAAAATAATAAACAATTTTTTCATTTTTTCTTTTTGTTATAAAAGAAAATAATTGAATATACAACAATTCAAATCTTTTGTAAAATGCCTTATGAGTTGTTTTTTTCTTCTGCAATTATAATAGCATCAAAGATATATGAATTATGATAATTTTATGCAAAATGGATTTCCTGTCACATTAAAAACTGATATAATTATAAAAATTATTGAAGAAAAACGTGCTCTTACAAAATCTAAAAAGAATGAAAACCACTTACAAACTGCAACTAGCATTAAAACATTGTTCGAACTTCAAAATTTAGAAAACGCATTGTCAGTCGCAGACACGACATCTGATAGCTCTAATTGTTACATTTTAAAACAAGATTTATAATAGAGTATTCATAGTTTGCCATCAAAGACCAGACTTAAAGCTTAGAAATAAATATCCACAAAATCTAATGTCAGAAACATAAAATATTCTGAGTCCGACTTACTCATTTTATAACATTAATTCATATTATTTATATTATCGTGATTATTAATAAACATTGTTTTTAATATAGAAATAGGAAAAAAAACTATAGAGTGACAAATAGAGAAGTCTCTTGAGAAAATTCGATAAATGTATCTCTGCACTAAGACTTCATGTCTTTAAACTGTCTAATAGCCAAAAGATTTTCTTCTCTCGTTTTTTTACATTATATATAAGTAAATTTTACTTATTTTTTTGTTCTTTTTAACGTTACTAGACTATTTACGCTCTTTGTATTCTATTTTTTTTTCTCTCTCCCTATGCATGTGTCTCATTCTGTTTTTTTCAATCAAGTTGAATAATGTTGAAAACTAAAAAAATTATATTTTTTCTACGTATAGAGTATAAAAAAATAAAAAAGAACAGAAATATGAAAGCATACAAGACCTTCAACTGCTCCTATTGAACATTTAGATTGCGTCGCGATAATTTGTTTTCGTAATAAAACTACACTCCGTACATTAAAAAGAATAGACATTATTGTTATAAAATGCCCTAAATGCGCAAATCTCTCTCGCTCTTTCTACAGAAGGTAAGCGTAGGCGACGCCTTCCAATCTTGAACATATAGAGCAAAATACTGAAGATTTAACGAAGGATTCATTGATAAATGAACCATGTTCACATGGAGAAATCGATCAAAAAATAATCGATCTTTATCAAAAAAGAAAAGAAAAAAAGCTTGGTTCTTTCTTTAACATCCTACACTATATACTCAGATGTGTGTTTTTATTTTGCTACATAAATTTTGTTCTCTTCGTTTGATCCTTGTACGTGCTTTCACATTTAGCTCACGCAACAGGTGTTATCGGATTATTTTTTTTTCTTTTAAAAGATCATTACTATTTCTAATCAGTGAACTTTGCATTTAATCTTTTTTTAACATCGTTTTTTACAATTGTCATGACTTTAGAATCTTATTAGCAGCTATGATTTCAGAAGAGTGAAATTAAATCAAAATTATTCAGAAAATAAATCTTTATCTTACCGATTTGTTTTCTGCGCTACATGTACAAATAAAATCGGAAAAATATAAGCCATTAATGACACTAAGGCTTTTTTTGCAAAATTAAGATCAAAATATCATTCAGAGTTGATACATAGTGGCTTTACACATATTTAGCCGTCGTATAAGAGGAGAAACATGGACCTCTGAGTACTACATTTTTGAGAAATGTTCTATTCAAACAATCGTTCTATGTAACTCGAACTATACTTACCATTGTTTGTATACAATTGACTCAAAAAAACAAAAGAACCTTAGCACTGGCACTTCGGATCAATGAAAATATTGACGACAATAAAAAAACAAATTTTATATCATCAAGAGGAGGCAACAAGTTTATTTACTCATTATTTTCTATACGACTCATTTTGTAGAGAATAATGTAGTCTTCATTAACGAATTACGGATATCCGTTCAAACTTACCACATATGATGCGATAAAGGAATTAAACACTTTTTTTAGAGACTAGTTTCGCGACATATGCCAAAACCGCAATGAAAAGTCACAGAAAATGACAGGAATAGTAGAAAATATAAAATGTAATAAAGTAAATATCTAAAAAATTCTTTCTTCAATGAGACTATTCTGAACATGATGAAAATTTTAATTTATAATTTGAAATTAGAGTTCCTGCCCGTATAAAACACACATCTCCTTTTTTTTTCTAGTAGATGCCGTTTTTACTAAGAACAAAACGTCATATTATGCGTTTCTACTAGGAACACGTCCCTGAACATGTTTTTCGGGAGAATGAAGAAAAACCCGATTTTTCTGTTGCAACATAAATAAATTTTTGATCTAGACGTTTGTGAGTCGATCTAGTTGTTGTAAATAAAATCAGATGATGAGTAAAGTGATATTTCACGACTTACACTAGACGAATGTAACATTGTCTGAAGAATGAAGAATGCACTAAGATCATCCTATTGGTAAACCTCATTGACTATCACAACTCATATTCGAATACTAATTTTTGATAGTAAAACCGTTCTAAACTCCATGAAAATAAGTAAAATGCTATTGATCTGATGTTGGCAAGAGAAGAGCACATTAGAACTATTTTTCTTGCAAAGAGCACAATAAAAAAATTCATATGAGCAAAAGAGATCAAAATTTCACCTCCTATAGTTGAAGAACGACGCATCTATTTCAAAAAGATAGGCAGTTAGTCCTGGCATTTGTGAATAACTTTTGTATCAAAAAATTTCCAGAATCTTCCACTTCGAATAGCAGAAAAGCGGATTTTTCTTCATTCTTCTGAAAAACATGTGCTCGGACGTGTTTCCATTAGAAACGCATAATATGATGTTTTATTCTTAGTAAAAACGGCATCTACTAGAAAAGAAAAGAAAAGATGTGTGTTTTAACTCAAATTTCAAATTATAAATTAAATTTTCATCATATTCAGAAGTCTCATTGATGAAAGAATTTTTTAGATATTTACTTTGTTACATTTTATGTTTTCTACTATTTCTGTCATTTTCTGTGATTTTTCATTGCGGTTTTGGCATTGTCCGAGATTTTTGGCGAGCATTTGGATAACGAAGTTCTTTTATCTTACCTTTATAATTAATACTTTAAAGCTTACATGACAAAATAGAAGAAACAAGATAACAAATTGCTTCTTACAATATAAAAGTCTGTAAAAGAAAATAATATTTTTTTGCTTTCGTTTGTGGCTTTTTATTATTCTCAGTGAAAATGGCAAAAGCTTTTTTCTTAGGCAGTTTTCTCTTTTCTTCTCATCTATGGGTTTGAATATGTGACGGAAGATGAATGACTTTTAAAGAAAAATTTGATCTCGTGTGAGTTACAAACGAAAACATATGTTTTTTCTTTACTGTATTGCAAGATGACAAGAGTATACTTAAATTTTTTTCTTTTTATATCCTGCTATAGAAAAGACACACCTAGAATACAACTAAACAACACGCATATATGCTCTATACAGTACTATATTACGGGAAATAGAATCTCCTCATAATTTCGTCATTTAGAAGTAAAAAAACTGTAAAATGACACTATTGAAAGACAAACTCTATAATGAATGTTCTTTTTTATTTCTTCTTATACTCTAACGACACATTTACCTATCATATAAGAATATTTTCTGATAAACAAAACCACAGAAAATAATTACAACGCATGAAGTTCACTTCAACGAAAAATTTTATGAGAACTTATCTACTGAAAAATAAAAATTAGCTTTTATAGTTTCCTTTTATTCCACTTTATGTCTATTGACTTTTAAAATACAAAATTCCGCTCAAATATTTTCTAAGTATTTTTTTGTCTTATTTAATATTTGTCCAACGAACCACTCAATTATGTTTTCAAACTGAAAACTAAATAACAATACTAGCACAAATATTCAGCCATCAAGTATAGTATAGTGTACGTAAAATATAATTCTCATTTATTTACATGTCGGCCCATTATTTCCTTTTTAATACAAAAAAATAAAAGGCGAGTGATAAACAATATGTTATGATACAGTGAAATTTAAACGATCATTTCAAAATCAAAACTTTTATCAACATTTGATTGTCATATGTGATAAACAATAATTTATATTATTTTTATTCTCATATTGAATTATACGCATACACGTAAATCTAATGGTTGATCATAATTAATTAAATCCGTAATATCCTTCAAACAGAAATAAACATGATGTTTTAAGCTTAAAAAAAATGTCAACAATGTAAACTCATTTACTTTTGTCGCATTATTATTCTCATTTGTATTAGTAAGATGTTTGTTTGTCGTAGTTATTGATGATGATGATGTTCTTTTTTTTATCGCTTTTCCTAAAAAGCAAAACATCATTATATTAACTATCAGTTTAATTCGATTCAATAAAACCATCTCTACCTCGTTTTCTTGTAACAACAGGTGAAAACGATGTTCGCTTTCTAGACGGAAGCTAAAAATAATAAAAATATCTTTGTCAACTAGATACAACATCATATTTTTACAAAATTTTCATTCATTTTCTTTTTTGTATGTTTTATTGTGTCTAAAAATATATTAGTTAATTTTATCTTACCGGCTCTTGCTTGTGATCTTTTAGTCCATTATCATATGATTTATTTTGAACATTTGTAACATTTACGGATGGTTGTCGTTGACGTTTCAATAATTTTTTCATCTGTTCTAGACAAAAAAGAAAAAGAAAGAAAAGAATATTAATTTAGCAAAAAAAAAGAAATATTTCTATTTTACCTCGATGTTCATCTAAACAAAGTAATCCAATTCTATTCAGATATAATCTAACATCGTCGGGAGCTAAAGCTGGACTATCAAAAGCAAGTTGTTCTTCTGAGAAGGTAAAATTATTCATGAAATATTTGATTTGATCAAAATATTAAATATAGACATTAATAAATAAATGTCACTTATTTGAAAATAAAAACAAGATTGTCTGAAAATGCAGTAGAGCTGATCAACGACAGACATCTATAGCAAACAAGATCTTCGAATGTAAAATACAAGATATCTATTCATTTATACTATCTATTTATTGCTTATCGATCCATTCCAATATCGGATGGTCTAGATATAATCGGTGTTTTTTTGTTTTCTGTTCTTCTCCATACAGTCTAAACCTTTTTGGAATTATTTTTTATTAAAATATGCATCGTGAAATTCTTAACAAAACCATACCTAAACTTTAATTTCAGGACTTCAATCAAGAAAACTACGTAAATTATACGAATGGAGAAAAAAATGAAAACTTTCTAAACTTAAGAACGATTTCCTGTGATAACGTTTTGAAAATAAGAAAACCTGAATCAGTCATTATGTAGCACTGACTTCGCTCTATCTTTTAGCTACACTTCACATTTTTTATATCAAAATCCAGGCAGAAATAATCATTTTTCTGCCAGTTGTCACATATTTTTTCATTAATTTTTTAAATTCTGAGTATAGTGGTACTTTTCAGTAAAAGCCCCATAACTCCATCAAACACAAAAGATTTTTCGATCGGGTTTGTGTTGTTTTGATGTAAAAAAGACTGCTCTTCTCGACCTAACTGCAAAGTCAAAAGTTCGATTATGTTTTCTATTTCTTGCTTGGGCACATTGTTCGAAACGGGAAGTTTCGAAAAAAAATATGTCAATTTTTGACATATTTTGGAAATTTGTTCTGCAGCACACCATCTGCTCTAAAAAAACTTTTTTACAGATCACGAGAAAGACCACATTCAATAGCACAAAAAAAAATTGCGTTCTCACTTTTGTCACACTTTTTTACGGAAATAAAGCAGAAGAAAAAAGTTCAAGTTGAAAAAATACCAAATTTACAAAGTTTTCATTTTTTTTTCTCCATTCGTATAATTTGCGTAGTTTTCTTGATTGAAGTCCTGAAATTAAAGTTTAGGTATGGTTTTGTTGAAAATTTAACGACGCATCTTTTGATAAAAAATAATTCCAAAAAGGTTGAGACTGTAACCGGAGAAGAACAGAAAACAAAAAAACATCCATTATGTCTGGACCATCCGACAGTACACTATTTGTTTTGACTGTTTAAACATATTCTAATTTTATATCATTGAATATGAAGTGAAAGAAAACAAAAGAAAAAGAAAAACAATTTGTTTTAGAAAACTAAATTTATGTTTCAATTTCATTCTCCTCATCGTCATTGTTTAGATAATTTTCTCTGATATTCGCTGTTTTTATATATTCAAAATTATCAATTCCGTATGCATGTGACAACAAATTTGTTCTCATAGATAAATCATCAGTATTTTTTAAATGTCCAAATATGAAACCGTTTGCTTTATCAATTACATTCATAATTCTTTCGATAAATGTTCGATCTTGTACATTTAATGGTAAATAATTGACTAAACTATAATCTTGAATAACATCGCACAATGCTTTATTTAAATTTTGATATTTTTTCATTAATTTTGGATAAAATTTTTTTGTCGATGATGATGATGATTTCATATCAGAAATTAAATATGATAAATCTAGTACTTCAGTATAATAGTCAATATTAAATGCTAATTTTCCATAACATTCAATTAGATCAATTTTTGATAATATATTGATGTGTGGTAATTCTAAATGTAACATCATTGATAAAGATGTTAGTAGTGTTGAAATAAAATTAACTGAATTTGTACAATAATATGAATCTATTAAATTAACACAACATAAACGTAATTCAAATTCTTTTTCACTGTTTTTCTGTAATAATTTAATAATATTATGAATTGAAGAATGATGGGTATAAAGTTCAATTTGTCCAGGACAATCAAAAAGAAAATAAGGAGGAATTTTCGATGTATGTTTATCAATTATAGATAATAAACGATTTAATAACCAATCAAAATTTTTTTCAATATATTCCATACAATATAGTAATGAACCATTTGGTCCTAGATTTAAATTATCACATACATCATCGACGGTTATTAAATCAACTAAATCTATTGAACAATCATAGGGCATATTTAAATTTGCAGCATCGAGATTAATGACATAAACATGACGACCACCAACACATTTATTAAAATAATCTTGGATAGCTGCACAATATGTTGTTTTTCCTAAAATAGATTGTTGTTTTTAACCGGTCTTTTTCTTGTTTTTATTATTATTAATAGTGTTATTTATTATTGTCACATGCATCTTCATACTTCGAGCATTAAACAAAAAAACAAGTTAAACACCTACCGCTACCAGGAGGACCAACAATAATTTGGCCAAAACATACAACCATCTTGATATTCTCTTTTCCGTCTATAAAAATATCTGAAAATTATAGATAAGTCTTATGTCAGTCAGTTGACATAAAAAAGAATTTTTGACAAACAAACTGTAAGATATAACTCTAAGTACATTAAATATACTTAGTTTTATAAGAAACGTAAAAATATATAAGATATAACTCGATGTAAAGAAAAACCACACTAGTTTTTCGTCTGGTATTGTTGACGTCTTTTTGAAGATTTGTATAAAATTCAAACACAGTATATAGAGGCCAAAATACTTTTGTTTTCAATATTTGTTATTTATATGCTCATCTTTATATGCCAATACAACAGAAACTCAAATCACCATCTTTTATTTTCTCTAACACGTAGCGTTATAACATCAATAAAAGAAAATGTTTCAAAAGTATACCGTGAAAACGTTAGTATATAAAGTGTTAGGATAAACACACACACTACACATCACATAAAATAGATAAACGTATAAAATAGAGGGGTTGAGCAAAGAATTAAAAAAGAAAAACCACTACAATCTACTAACAATAACAATTTAACATAGACGAGCCAGCGTGGAGATATGCACTTCCAGTTATTGTTTGTTATATACATAGACACACAGATAAACAAATATCAACATCAAAACGAATGTAGGTTTAAAAATCTCGATTTTATATATGTATATACAACAAAAAGAGGAAAGGAGATATAAAAGAACACGCGTCCTATACAAAATAAACCAGTTTCGCTAATATAGCAATCAAATATACACAAAACAAGTAAATACAATGAAATGTCTCTTATTCATATTTCATATTGCAATTGTTAATCATATCGTTTATCTAGAGACAAGAAATGAAAAAATGATTTGGATTTACTTTTGAATAAAATATTCTACTCACATTTGGTTTTCATCATGATTCTGTTGTATGACATCAATATTATTACCTGTTTCGCAAATACTTGTCTCCATCAAATCTTCTAAAGTTTCATTGACAATTGTATTTAAATCATCATCACACAGAATGGACGACTGTTTGTACTCATCTGTTATTTTCTTCTCATCATCCTTGTCATTTATATTTAATAAATAATTGTTATCCACATTATTCGAGGTATTGATAGTCGTACTTCTAGCATAAAAGAAAAGTAGAAACATAATATTTTTAATTTTATTATGTTTTGTTATGTCATCGATGAAGTTAGTGTTCGATATCATTCTTACGAATGTTCTGGAGTTAAAAAAAAATAAGCCAATCCGCTCAGATAATTCTACAGGATAATAATAACTTCAGTCAATCACACAGATGAATATTTAAAGGTAATATGATAGATGGGATCGAAGAGTTATATACAGATTCTATTAGACCGAAGTAATTTGTATCAAATTAAAAATCGGCTCATAGAAGAAAAAGTATATGGATCTAGCATGTTGGTGTTATGCAAATAAAAAAATTGAGATGGATCTTATAAACTGAACATTACGCGAAATGATTTATTTTTAGACAAAGTATTACTTACCGATAACTTTCATCATCTTTGGCTTCTTGTTGAGGATGAATCTGGTAATCATTATTCGGTATATCATCCATCAACATCATCAGTATGCCGTTTGAATTGCTGTTATACTCATTAGTATCGGACACATTTTCAGTTGTCTCATCAAAAAACTGTTCTGATGAGGGAGACAAAACAATTGCGGACGTATCAGTTATTGATGATGTTAGAGGTACCAATAATAGTTCCTCGGTAGTTGGTGATCGAATTTCTTTGAAGATTGGTTGTTCATTTGATATTTGTTTATTAGCTAAAGGACGAATAATCAAAATAACAAAAGTTGCTTTTTGAGGGTAGGGAAAGAGATAAAGTACGGAGGATAATGTACAATATTCGATTTTGTAGATATTTTCAAATATACTGCCCACAGTTCATCATTCAGCAAATACTATCTCTCACGGCTACAATAGAATGAAAGACGACCAAATCTGTATTGCAATCTTTTCTCATTTTGTTGTACTATCATGACTGAAAAACTATATAAGCGTAACAGGAGCCTACATTGCCATTAAAAAGTGATTTCATCAAATATACTGGAAAAAATTGATGAGATCTTTATATATTTTACACCGGATTGAAAACTCTCTCAGATATTCAAGGCTTTTTTAAAATTTATTTTACCTATTATAGTCGACAAGAAAAATCAAAAGCAAATCGGTGCTATAATTTTTTTTCAGTATTTTACTGTCTAATACCTGATTGGTGTGGACGATTATCTTTTTCATGTAAAAATTGACTTTCACTGCAATGTGACGGACAAGTTAACTTTTCACCACAGAGACAATGATATGCATCCGAGAAAAATTGATCATAATCAATGTTAATGTTATTAGTTAATTGTGATGGTGTTGAAATATTTCGTAACGTTTGTGTCATCCAATTCATGATCGTACTCATCGATATATTTTGTCTTGATATTGAATCAATTGATTGTACTAAACGTATAATAAATTCAAAACATTCTTTATATTCATTATTTGATACGTCAACGTGATGTTGATGAAATATCAATGATGTTAATTTTTGCACAGCTAACTGAGGATATTTTATGGCAGATATTTTCATTATTCTCAAAAGTGAAAAACAATCAATAAATGTTGTATTCATAAAACGAATTTTTATTTCAGGATCTTCAATAAAAGAATATTCTAAATCGTCAACAGTTTCGATTTGCCAAGCATCAATAAAACGAAAATCTACTGTGACTATTGATGATTCAGATAGTTTTGATTGACTTGTACAATTGAGAGATGATGGATCAACATTGTTATGTATGGAAAATGAAAATAAATCACTATAATCATCTTGTATGGTCAAATTTGTATGATCTGATTGATTATCAATTAAAGATGACGGAACAAAATCAACTAAGCCATCAGAAGACTGTTGTAAATTCGGTTGTTTATGTTCATTTTGTTGTGCCTGTGAAAATAAAGTGTGTGGTAAGATTATATTTAAATCTGTTGTTAATAATAATGCTTCCAATGATGAATTGTATTCTAATGATGGACATTTTTCATAAATCCAATTCAAATAATCACTAATTGTTATTACATTTGTTTGTAATAATTTTTGTTCCATTATTGTTTTATGATATGCAAAAATAAATTTATATACAGATTCAACAACGTCTTGATCGATATTTTCATTGTTACATTCAGATATTAGATCAAGTAAACGATGAGTTAATTCTTTCGAATTTTGACTATTTAAATATGGACGCAAAATATTAATATTAATTTTTGTTGAACCAAAATCGATAAATGTATCAGTTGGTTGATTGAACACTGCATCTGTATTGGTAACTATAGCATCATCATTTGACACTACTTCTCTTTCTTCCTGTTGATTCTCACATGACTAAAATATTCAATTACGATATACTGTTGCTATTTTAAAAGTGTATAGGAAAAACCTATCATAGATAATCTGATAGTTTTATTTGAAAAAAGATTAATATCTAATAAATATCTTGTGTTTTGATACTTACATTGTTATTGTCGGTTGAACAATTAGAAAATAAAAATTTATAATCTGAAGTTGTTTGTTCTTGAAAAATAGTTGGATCATGAGTATATTTTTTCATGCACAATAATATATGTTTCGGTCGTAAATAGTCAACAAGTTTATTGTGTTTATTATAACGTCGAACAAGTCGTAAAATTGAACGACATGCATCTGTATTCAATGTTGTAGCTGATATCGGTTTATAATACCAATCTGATTCACGTATGGAATCACTCTGCTCTCCAAATACTAATAAACCTAATTTAGCTATGAAATCGTATATTTTATTATCAGATTTGTTATCAAGTGGTATATCGCGTTTATTATCCTTTATTATTTCTCGTAAATGTTGTGAAGAAATTTTAAATGGGCCAAAATAAACATGAGTATCATGTTCTATTGATTGAAAAAATTGATTCCATGTTTGTCTAGGATAGTTATACACAGTCGATGATGTTGTATTCGTTGTAGGTGACTCGTGATAATACTGTTGTGAAGACAAGTCCGGAGTGAATATTTCGTTGTCTGTATCAATTGTTGATGTTATAGATGGTAGTGGAAGTGTCTGTTCTTGTTGGTCGTTTTGAATTACTGGAAAAAAGAAAAATTTCATAATATACAGCAAATATTACCTGTTGACTACTCATACCTATATCCGTCTGAGACTGAGAACGACTATTGGTTGAATCAATTTTGGGTGGACGACGTCTTCCGTTTCGATTAAATGTGTGTACCCAAGATACAATACGACTCAGTGGAATATGTTGTTTTTCATAAACAAAACGAATTAGTTTCGAAATTTGAAGAATAGCCGCTTCATTAAGTAGTTCTTTTGGATTTGTTGTAACTTGTGGAGATGGCATTATTGTGGCGGGTGTGACCGTTGTTGATGAATTTGCAGCTGCTTCTCTTGCTTTTATTAAACCCATTTGTATATCGCTAAATAACAGTGTCATAAGACTGTGAGTTGCCTCACGTGCACTTAAGCGACTACGCTTTTCAATAATAGATAAGATTTGAGTTGAATCAAGATTATGAGAGCCGAACCAAACTTGAAAATGTTGACCACTTTTAATAGCATCGATCAATTCTGTCATCATACTATCTTGATCATCTTCATCATTATCGATGGTCATCGATGATTGTGACTAAAATACAATGTACATAGAACCTCCGTATCAAAGCAGGACATGCACAATTGTTAATATCTTTGAGATGCATTCTTGCTTACTTTAGAGAGTTGTTGTTGAAGCTGTTTATACGGAAAAGCTTCTTTGTTATCGCTATATGGTTCATACGACTTTTTCAGTTTTGTTGGAATCTCATTTAAATTTTGCTGTTGTTGATTTTCCTGTTGTTTATTTATTTGCTTTGTTGTGCTATTTCTCTTTTTTGTTTGTGCTGATGGTGATGCTAATAATTGGGAATGTGTGGTCACGGGCGAACTGATTGGACTTAATAAATTTTTTATTTGTCCATCGTCTGATAATATTTGCTGTTGATCTAGATGAACTAATTGTAATTTATCATTCGAAATCATTGTTGATGTCGATTTTGGTGTTTTAGGGTTAATGGCTAAATCGGGAAGATTTACATCGACGCCCAATGCTTTGTGTTTTTTTCTATAATAAATTAATTTTCTACCCCTTTCATTTACCCAACGTGCAATTTTTGGGTGCTAAAATATATGTAATTCGAACTTTTTTTCTAAGTACATTACATAAACGATAAGTCACTTACAGTTAAAAACGAATTTGGACACATCATCGTTATTAGTCTTGCCAAGGTATCAAAAGCTTTGTTGTCTAATTTACTGCTAGCTTCACGTCGTGTCGTTGTAAAAGGAGGCGTCTTATCTGCAAGATCCCATCCGAATACCAACTGTGATAATTTATAAGTTAATACCTGAAAATATAAGACTTAAATTGAGCAAAACAGATCAAAATCAGGTTACTAAACCAACCCTTGGCTGTGATGGTGCATATCTTTTCAATAACTGAACAATATGACCGAGGACAACATTATAAGGACCAAATAGTACATTTTTAACGTTGTTGTCATGTAAAAGGAAAAATTTACGCAATTGTTCATTGACATCAATTGGTCTTGATGGTAGTTGTTGTGGTTGCTCTTCGACTGAAACCATAGAAGCTGCTCTCGTCAAATCATGACCAGCATTCATTGGCTCATCATCTTCTTCATCATTCTCATCATCTGTATTTAATACTAACTGAGATTGTTGTAAACTGTTGAAACGTAATTGTTCTTTTAATAAATCCTGTTCTTGTTGTTTTTGCTGTTGTTCTATAATAGATGACTGCCGTTGAATTTGTAACACAAGGTTATTGTTCGAGCCACCGACTTGAGTACCAGCTATGTATGACAGAAACATAATCACACACACAAAATACGCTAAAATTGAAATTACCTTTCACACGACTATCACTACATTTACGTCGAATCCATGTGCGTATTTGTTGTCGTCTTAGGTTTTCATTGCGATACAATGTTAAAACAAGCGAACACAGTGCTTCAACTGCTTCTTGATTTAAAATATCATACGATGACAAGCGATGGCCTTCGGGTAACGGTTGTGCTATTTTGTAACTCAAATCGCCTATAAGCAAATGAAGAAAAATTGTCTAAAAGCATTAAAAAAAATAGTCCTTTGGTACCAAATATTAATGTCGTTAAATGGCCGGTGAAAATTCTTGGCCTTTTTCTAAAGTTGTGTATCAACTGAAGAATATCTTGTGAATTGACATCATGCGGACCAAATCGCACTAAAAATTTGTGTCCATTTTCAATAGCATGAATCAAATCATCGATTGTATTGATACCATCACGAGCAACATTTGTTCCATTTTGCTGATTAGACGGTTGTTGTTGCTGCTGCTGTTGTTGTTGCTGTTGCTGCTGGTGTTGTTGTTGTTGCTGTTGTTGTTGTTGTTGTTGTTGCTGTTGTTGAACTACGACTTGTTGGTCTTGCAAACATTGCAATAACATGTGAGCATCAATATTTATATTGGTCCCCTGTTGTTGATTGTTCGACTGAATTACTTGCTGTTGCTGTTGTAATGAAATAGATGTCGGTTGTTTAATAGCGCTTGTTAAGACAATATTAGCAGCTGCTGAGGTATTGAATAGGGCTGCTAGGGATTCAAGAGCTTTCAATTTGGTCTCATTTTCTGAAAGAAAAAGAAGATAAGTTATTTAGTCTGTGTCTCACTCAAACTTTTCACAATCAGCTTATTTCCTCCTAGTTGAGACGAATACGCCAGACAATAGTAAAAAGGTTACATTATTCGTTTTTACTTTCATTCAACTATGGAAAATAACTAAGCGTTTACACAGATGTTTCTAACGGAAATGATTATGATCATTTATGCAACAACTCCGAATTCGTAAAACTATGTAACGAAAATAATAAAACTTACCTTGATCAAGCGGAGTATTCTCTATTTGAGTTCTTATTTGACCACTATTTGTTCTGTAGTCTTGATGTCTATTTGATGATTGAGTGGTTAACGAAGGTGAATTAGTGAGAACTGAATAACTGCTAGTTGTTACTACTTGATTATGAAGAATATGGTTGATATCATTGAACGTAATAAAATAATCTTTATTCGCTTGATTATCATGATAAATCATCTGTTGATTTTGGTGAGGGAATTGTGTCTGTTGGGGTGGATAGTGACCACAACGATGCTCATTATATGCACTTATTTCGGGCCAATGTGTTGATTGAATTAAGTCGGTCAATGTTGTTTGATGATTATTGTTGGCTTTTTCCGGTTTTGTTTCCATCCTTGCATCTTTCCAAAACTGCACAAAAGATGAAAAATAAACAAATAAATATAACTAAAAATAAACCATTCTATTTTTTGCTTGAGGTTAAACAAATCTGAAACACAGAACATAACGAAAACAGAGTGTAACAAGTGTATTCATAGCCATAATTGATAAAATTAAAGCGGTAACTTCATAATTTACTTTTCTGAATTTGAACCATATTTACTTTTAAATCATTAAAATTAGTTCTACGTTAGACGGTGGACTTTCATTTAGAAAACAGAAGTGAGAAAAAAAATCATCCGTAGGTCGATGGTTTTTTGTGACTATACCAAATAAAATGATACAATGTCAAATCGATTTTTAAATACAACACATAAAAAAAATAAAGTATTTAATAACAGCAACGAGATAAAAATAAATTTTTTAGAAAAAAAGTCAAACAAAATTTCTTCTTGTTTTAGTTTTTTCATTTTCTAATATGTCTATTATATAATTTTACTTTTCATAGTGGAACCGAAATAAACAAAAAAATTTAAAATCAAAAATTGCGGTATTTATGGAAAAAAAATAAAAATGGCGAAGATTTTACTTGAGAAAATATTGTTGTCTATCTCACAAATGAGAGTAATGGTTTGTCACTGTTTATATCAATTGTACAATATACTGGAAAAAGACTAGATACAAATAAGAAACGGCCTATCATATCCTCTCTTATTCTATTTCAATCGAGAAAAATCAATAAATAGATAATGTCGTTGTCATAGTCATAAATCGTGAAGTAAAACTTCAGGAAAGAAGAAAAACCATCTCTCTAATAGATAACTTTTTCATATATAATCTATAGAGACACAAAATCGATAGATTATTATGTACTCAAGTATAATGAATCTGCACCACTGTATTAATTATCACTCACTCCTCAACTTTAAAGGACAGTGGCAGAGCAAATGATAAAATATCATATTTGACGTAATAACGCGAGGTTAAAAGTCACAATGTCCTACCATACACCACACAAAGGTTAGAATAAAATTTTAAACAAACGCACTATACCACTCATCACTTGACTAGTAGATGAAAACTCCTCGAAATGAAAACAAATGTTCATTCATAAAGATCTTTTATATTCACGAAACGTCGTACGGATATATCAACTGGTAAATGAAATTCAATTGATGTTAAACGATCCAATGCATGTAAAGCATCATTAAATCCTAGAAAGAAACAAAATAAAATATAAACAAATACTAGACAAATAAATTCTCTATTTCTACCTACCAGTTGTCTTTGTGTAACTCCATGACTGATAGTAGTTTTCAATCAATGGAATTGTTTTTATCAACACACGCAAAAATGATACAAGTTTCTTTTCACTAAACGAAAATGACGTTCATTTGTCTTGTATTTCATGCAAGCCTATTCTCTAATAAAGTATAACGCTACCAGTATGGAATAAAAGTGGAAAACGATTATAGAACGTCACCAATCGTGAAAAATCGAAAAGAAAAGGATACTTACTTTAATGCCAGACAAATGAATGCTTTAAAACAACTATCCATTGATTTGTTATGTTTTTCATGTAATTTCACAACTGTATCTATTGCACTAAGTAAACACTAATTTAAAAAAAACACGAATAATGATACATAACTATTATCAAATACAAATAAATCACCTGCTTAAGTGTGATGGGCTTTCCTCCAATAACATCTAATGAAAATGATTGTGATAATTTTCTGGCTGGACTGTTAGAAAAATCATTTCCATGCTATTTTATCATAAAAACATCAAAATTTATGTTAATATTAATGAAGATTGACAAATAATTACCTTCATGGCATAATATCGTAAAAATAATTTCCATACATGCATTGTTTCATCTTTATACAATACACTACCACCTCGCGTTGCAAAGCAGCCCCATGCTGCGAGACTTGTAGAATAGTTTATCTAGAGATAAAAAGAAACATAAATTACAGGGTTGAACAACGATAGTCAATGGCACACCTCGTAAAGACCATGTTCCATTAATGCTTGTAAGGCAGGCGCAAGAACTTGGCGTACAGCCAATACAACTTCTTCTGAGTCATATTCTTCCTAAATAAAATATAAATTGATTTCTTTTTGGAGAAAAAATACAATTTTGTATGTCGTCCATTAAAGGGACACAACGCAGCACTAAACAAACCTTTTGACTTCGCAATTGTACTATACGTACATTTTCGTATTCCTCGCTACTTGTTGATGAAACGTCATCATCAGTATAATTATTATTGCGTGACATTACTGAATTAGAATGACGGATTACATTAAGGACTTTTTCAATAGCAATTTCAAGCTTTGCTCGTAGATCCCTAGAAAAAAAATTATAAAATAACTAATTCAGAGAAAGATTCCAGATTGAGAGTAGAACGGGTTAACTTCTGAAAGACAGTCTATTTTTATTCTTTAACCAATAGAGTACCAGACAGTTGCTCAAAAAGTGGTGAACAAACGTCGTTTTTCCAGAGATAACTAAAAATAAGGCTTTCTGAACCGTTTAAGCTGTTCCAAAGATCTATGAGCAATTACCCAAAATGTTTTTTAGCAATTGTTCCTTTTTTCATTACTGTTGCTGAGGGTGATGCATTTTTCTTTTGCATATTGCGTGTACCACAGGTCACAAGTAAAAATGTGTACAGTTGTGTTAATATAACGAATTTTTTAAATGATTGCGTAAAATTTGTATTTATATTTGATGATGACTGTTGTGGTTGCTGTCTGGTTACTGGTGGTGGTTTCGTTGGCGTTTGCGTCTATAAAATTTTAATAACGAACAAAATTTTGACAATAAAGAAACTACTCACATTATTCGATTTTACTAACACTTTACTATTCACCATCGTTGTTGTCGTGGGTAATGATGCATTTAATAATTTTGCTGACTCACTCGAATTTTGAGCAAGATCAGTAGTATTTGATGTAACAGTATTTCCTGAGTCAGCTAAAAAAACAACAAAGAATTTATGTTTGATAACTGGTTTTTCTAGCTATAAACCTTTGAGAAATTCGACAAAACTTTCTAAATCGTTAATTTGAGTACGCATTTGAACTATTAAGTTCTCTTTTAGTTTTACAGGATTTGTTAACTAAATAAAAAGAGGAAAGTAGGATGAACAAAAATATATATTAATTATTAACAAACCTGATGAATGCCTTGGTCCACCAATTTTCGTAATTCTTCAGCACTAAGGTAAGAAACATGCATTCAAAATAGAAATTTAAAACGAAAAATGTTTTACTTACCTTAATTTCGATACGGATACATCATCTAATTGTAAATCTAATTTTTCACGTAATTGATCAATAAGAACCTTTTGTTTTTCAATTGTTACTGATGTTGGACACCCGTCGAGACTACCAGCCTAAATATACGAAATATTGAAAATATAATACATAAAACTTTTTTATCATCATCGTTTATTTGCCTTACTGCCTGTGCATATCGTTCTAATTCATCCAATTTTTGTTTTAGATCATTGATGAATTCTCGTTCACGATTTTTTTCATCTTCAATCAAATGTTCACTATTTATATCCTTAATAAATAAGTGAAATGTATTCAATACATAAATCAGTCAGTTAATACATACTTGACTGTATTTTGATGGCTGACAAATAATATCGGGAACTAAAATAATAAATTAGTATGTAATAATGTACTAATTATATTTAATCCAGAAATAAATAAAAAGAACTTACTTCCAGTCGAGGCAAATTCATGTAATTCGTGTAGTAAATGCTGTGAAAAGAACGGATGGACATAAATAGAATAAGAAAGTAAATAAAGAATATATGCTGAGCATACTTCACGATCTTCTAACGAAGAGCCGACAACTTGTTGTAAACGCAATTGTACATGTGCAAAATGGCGTGTTAGAGCACTTAAGTGGGCGCTTAGTTTCTCGTGTTCTGCTAATAATTGAAGTTTACCTAATTCATCGCCTTTATTTTCTAATGTACTTCAAATAAAAAGAGAACGATAAAACATTTTAGAACTAAAACTTAAAACATACCCTTTTCCGTATTCGCTTTCTGACGAACAACCAACCGGTGTCAATCGCCCAGTTAATGGCAATTTTTCGTTATCTGATCTATCAGCCAAATCTTCTGTCAACATATTTATGGAAAGGTAGAATCTGAAATAGATACGACTTGTGAACAGAAAGGAAGCCGAGTACCTATTTTTCTCATAATCCTTCTACAGCGATATGAGCTAATCAGCGTTGTTAAAGAACGTTTTGTATGTTCAGGTAAAAACAGTATGGACTTTTTACACGAGAAGTTTCGAAGTTTTTATTTTAAAATTGAAATGAAAAGAGTAAATGTCTTTCGATTTAATTGGGGTTCACTTCTTTTAGTCATCAGTAACATTCGTAACAGCAAAAAGAACGATTGGTAAAAGCTTGCTGTAAATAAATGCGTCAGAGCGATAGATGGAAATTTAAAATATTAGCAATCTATTTTGAAAACAGTAACGTGCATTAGAGGACAAGTGAACTGTTTTGGTTATTTAGTTCAATATAAGTAGAAAATAAATCGTTTATCATCTTATACTCCTCGAGAATGTGGGATGTTCTGTGGTAGGTTTTGCATTTTGCTGGCTAAATCGATTAATCATAATCAATAAAGCTTCGAATCATATTTTAAGAAACCCTTATTTACGACAAAATTATTATATTCAAAGGTTATAGCGTTTTATGATGAGTTGAAGTTAATTAGATGTGACATGAGTATTCATTTCAGTTGCGGTGTTGTCAGTTCATTTCACCTGAGGAACGCTATTGTGGAAAAAATGAGCGAATCATATTTAGGAATGGTGTTCTCTACGACCGATTCACAGATATCAATATCATCAGTAGAGAGAGAGTGTCGCCACAATTCAAAAAAATGTCTATTCATCAATTTTCTTAATATATAAGACGACAAAATAACTCTCATCTATATCGATTGACGTTCATTCTAATGAGTGTACTTGAGAGCGGATATGTTATTTACATATGAATTATTTCTGTGAGCATTAAGCAAGCACTTGGTGTAAAATGGTACTTGCTAATTACTTGTCAAAGTATATACAAGTACGTGACGTGCTTCGTTTTGAAATTGCAAGAATACTAGAACGTCAGACAAAACTTGCAAGAGTACATGAAACAAGTACTACTATACAAGTACATCCACTAGAATAGTTGAGTATTCGGATACGAAAAGCATGAATTGTTTTCGATGAGATTAAGATATCTTTTTATGAATCTAATGACTTGGTATGATAAATATAGCCATGCTTGACATGGATCGTAGTCTATTTGCCTAAGTTTTTCAGTCTTCTACTACTAAAAACTGTTTAACCTTTGCATTTGTTTTCGAAGTATGATTTCATTAGTAATCATTTCTGTTAAGTGTTTCTTATTGATAACGATTATCTAATCAATATGAGACCAATAAGAAGAAGTGGATAATAGTTCTCGTAATAAAAATAAGCAAATATTATCATGCTTCATTTTCAATTCTGTTGTTTTTGTCATTCTAAAGTTACGGCCATCAGCAATTTTATTTTCGTCAATATTTGTCTCCTATTTTCATCCTTCGTAGTTTGTATTAATTTGGCGGATTGTTGTAAAAAAAGTTTGATAGGCCAAACAGGTAAAAGGAAGGCTTGCTTGTGTAAGTTCATTCATTCACTTCTCATGGACCGATTCACTCATGTGAGTGGATCTATCCGTTGGGGCACAAATGAATCATACTTTTTCTTCCATAACTCTCGTGATCTTGAGCATCTTTTGTAATTTGTTGTAATGAGTTGATGCCAGTGATCTCTCTTATGTTACCCAAACATGTTTTTCTCGTTCTGCCTACTGGCCTTTTACTATAATATTTGTCTATTAGAATTTGCTTTGGTCATCTTCTATCATTCACTCGGCTGACATGTCCAAAACAACTTAGTTGTCTTTGATTTATTACATCAACTACATCAAGTTCTAATGATAACCTTCGTTTTATTTCGTTATTGCTAATATGTTGCTGCCAACCGATGCCCATTAACCATCTGTAATATTCATCTCAAAAGCTCTTAATTTTCTAGAATCGTCAGACTATAAAACTCATGTTTCTGCACCATATAACAATGTTGTGAAAACACATACTTTTAAGACTCTCAGTTTGGTGTCCAATGAGATTCTTAAAGTTAGTTCGAACCGATTTTTCTGAGGGATCTGAATAAATGAGAAAATTTTAAATAAAAATATATTATTGGCATAATGGTATCTTGTAACACATAGTGGTTCTTCACTAATGGAGCTTAAGTCATTTAACTAGTCGCTGAAGCCTTCTTCGATTGAAAAAAATTTTTCGTATTTCTTTTGAAACCGAACCGATCGGATCTATGATGCAGGTATTAATTTTATTATAGTGATGAACACGCATAAAGACGTTAAGCAAGCATTTCATTCCCAGATGCTAATAAATAAAACTGTGATTTACCGAATATCCATTGGCCTTAATTGATTTTAGTTAGATTTTCATTCTTCAGTGACATATCATCTCATAAACTCTTCATTTTACACCTTGCATCTCTTTTATATTCTAATTGAATGAACTCATTCAGATGTCCGAGGAGTTCTTATTTTCAATGTATAGGGTTGTTCTTGCGCATGTTCGAGACCTTTTGCTGCCTCAACATATTCATTCAATAGTTCCCTTAGCAAAGCTTTTTACTATTTTAACGATTCACTATAATATGCTTCATTATTCAGTTGCATCAATAGGGCCACGTTCCATACTTAATGTAAAGAATACACCATGAGTTGTTTTGTTAAAAAGATCTTTTACATACGTTGTAAAAGTTCTTGTTAATATATTTTGTGAATTTCTGCGATGTAATATTTCAACCAATTAGAGTTCTTTTAAAGTTAAGCTTGAATTTATCTCTTTGATTCCAATTAATTTCAACTGTGAAACAACTATTGTTTGTTGATATCAAATAATATATTCGTTTTTCCTAATGATTCAACATAACAGCTATCCATATAGTTCATTAAGTCGGAGAGAAAACATCAAAGGAAGTGTCAGGATGTACTTTTAATGACAGGACAAATGATTTTAGAAGAGAGGAATCTCTCTGCTTAATGTATACTAAAATATTCGTTTTATTCGACTCTTATCATTCAACAATGTCAGAAATTAAAGTCTTTTACCTTTACTTGTATAGTGTCTACTTGAAAAAGGTAGATTTTTTTTTTTTTTATAATATTGACCGTTGTTATCAGTATCATATAGAGACTGCTCGATAATTCCCCTCAAACTTTTCACCCTACCTGAAGGATGTATAATTTATCGGTTTGTACAGCAATAGACTAAATCATGATAAATTTGAACGACGAGTTATCAGCTATTCTCATCTTGGTGGCTGTGTCTTGCGGTGGACTCTCTCTTATACTCGTAATCGGTGTAATTATATTTTTAATTTATTATAATCATAAGAAAAAGTCAAAAATAAATCCAAATGAAGTTCGAGACACATCTTCTCTTGATACAATTAGTATCAAATCTGTTGCAGAAACACAGCTTACTAAAACGACAAAATCCGAAAAACGTTCAGGACGACAAATACTTTCAGATCGTGGACGACCTATCGAAACACGTTCAGAACGACAAATACTTTCAGATCGTGGACGACCTCTCGATAGCCAAGCGTCAACAAACATTATTCCTTCGTACAAAAAACGAACGCATGAACGCAGTATATTAACACCATTTACAGAAAGACGAAGTGAAAATGGCAGCGATCAGGAAATGGATGATGTAATGCCAATAAAAACTCGACATATAATGAACCCAATGACAGATATGACACACACCTACCCACGTCAAACGCCGTATCCAGCCGAAGTTATTCAGCGAGAAAGAATAATGCATGCACAGCGTTATCCAGCAGCTAATAATGGTTATTTCAACAATTGAAAAATATCGCTCAATATTTGTAACAACATTGTATACTGTGCTTAAAGAGGATCAACGTTTACAGTGAAATGCACCTTTGTTCATTGATGCTAAATAATAGTATCTACATCTTACTATTTATTTCTATATATAAGAGACATAGCTAGTTTTGAACAATATTTGATACAAAAAAATTGAAAACCTTTGATTTCATCATTGCGTAGGCGAGACTTGAGGTTGTCGACTGATAAGAAAGACGCGATCAGCACACACACACCAACTACACGTAGTACTTTTCTTCAGATACTGCCATAATCTTTTATCTTTTCATATCGAAATATTCATACCGACATATTCGATCTAAGAAGTTATAGTCTGAAATGTTCACCACATAATTCTACAAATCGTGTAATTGGTGTATTGACCGCGATTTTCCATCAGTCGACGACTTTAGGTCTTGGTTACGCCACAACAAAACTACAGGTTTTCAATTTTATTTTATCAAATATTTTTCAAAACTAGCCATATATCTTATATTGTGAAATTCATGTTAGAAACATTCTTACTTTCTTATACCAGATGTCAATATTTTGTATGATGCAATTCTATGTGTAACACAGAATCACTTACCAATATCACAGTAAATTCAATTTATTTAATGCAGCCTATCGCTGTTTCTGGTATTGAAGTGTTATGTCTTTCTTTTGAATATAAGCGTATTATAGATTGATTCCTGTTAAACAATGAGTAAGTCACTCGCCATTTTAAATCTAAATTTGTATTATTATGAACAATACCGATCGTTTTCCTCAGAATTTTAAGCCGATTTTTTTAGTGTATTAGATGCAGGTCTATCGACATGGAGGATGTCCAGCAGGCATTGATGCGATTGATGCGAACGTTTCAGAAACACTGAAAGGTGATCATTTTTTATTTTTAACTAATCGATGCTGTAAAAATAACTAATCGATACTGTAAAAAATAAAGTGTGCCCGGGGCACACTGAATGTACACATCACGTTGAACTGTTTTTGTACACTGAAAACGGCTTATTCAGTGTGTTTGTAACACATTGGAATTGCACATATAGCTTTCACAGAGAGAACGGCAAAAAAGACCGGAGAGAAGAATAATTCTTCCGTTTTTTTTTTCCATCGAGGAACGCAAGATAAAATTTCAAATTATACAGTGACATCACTTTGGGCTCGAAATGCACACTAGCGGGCACACTTTAGTTTTTACAATGTGAAGTTCGCCATCTTGGCTATCTTTTTCTATAAAACAATTTTTCAAATAAGTCACTGTGATACAAAATTTATGCTACAAAAATTAGTCAAGTAACATCACATTTACTTCACAAACAATTTTTTTGAAAATTATGTTTCGGCTTGTCCGGCTAATAGTACGTTTCTTTTGCTCTTTTTCAAAAAATTCTTGCAATAAAACTACAAACTAATCTAAGCTTTCAAATAGATAATTAAATAGATTAAACATCTCTCTATAAAATAACAAGTGTCTCGGCTCCAAAAGTTGCTTCATTATGAAAATCCAACTGTTGTACAAATAGTCCAAAAGATCAATTTTGAAGCTACCTGAAAAACGTGTTTAAAAGCGTGAAGACGAGCAGACGAAAATCCAACAAGTATATCAGTTTGTAGAAAATTATCTGCTCTACAGGATGCAATGGTTTTTAAATATCAAAACTAGCTCATTTCATCTGTATTAATTAAATAAAAATCAAAAAAAACGTAACATGATGACAAAAAACAGTTAAAAATGTCATCACGTTACCGGTCATATAAACGCTGCAGTATTTGAGCGATAGGTCATACTTCAAACCTTTTTACATCTCTTATAGAAGCCATCGGGATCTGTAAAATAATGCAACATTCGCTTCAATTCCTGTTCACAAGTGTGAGAAAATAAGCGTTGACGCTGAAAATGCGTCATCGCGTTATCTGCCAACAAGCCGGTTAATTTTATTGTGAAAATAATTTGAGAAACAAATCGTGACTGTTTTTTGCTCCTATGCGATGAGAAATGTGTTTAATTTCGGACTATTTTCTTTCTGTACTGCGAAATTTTCCCAAATCCAACTCGTTAGTCTACTGAGTTTCTGATTACGAAGGTACTAATTCGCTCAAATTTGGCACAAATATTCTCTGATCTATACTACCAAGTATAAGTATAAAATTAGCGTAAAATGGCATCTTCTTTGTTGGACTTCACAACATATTTTTCAAAACGCCATGCTCTTTCAGGTAAAAAATTGACTTTTTTTTCAATAAAAACTACATTGAACTTTGTGTAAAATAATATTTTTCTGCACATTTGATCCAAAAACTTATAACTTTCATACACAATTACGACAATTTAAATCAAATTTTTTCAGATCTTCGGAATTCTCTGAAATCAAAGTGACATTGATTAATAGTGAAATCAAAATTCAGATTGAATCTGCAGAAAATTTTTATATCTGTATAATAAGTTAAATTCTCAAAGACAAAAATGTTAAACGCAGACCTTAATAAATCTTTAAAAATTTCTTAAGAGGGGGTCCTTCCATTTAGATTTTCCTCTAACATTCCCAGTTTGTAGAGGATACTTCGAAGTATACGCCCTGAAGTTTTTTCGGCTTACTGACATTGTCTGGCAATTAATTACTTAAAAAATATCGTTAAATTTTTGAGCACGGGACTATACAAAATTTTCTATCCATTCTCCTCCATTCATCACAAAAACTTGATTCTTGCCTAGATCGATAGAGAAATGTGTGGAGAATATTTACTACAAGAAAATATGTAAAAAGAATTTTTCTTTCCTTCCTGTTATTGACCAATTAGTACTAATTAACGTTAATTTCGCCTACTCTACTAGTTTAAAGTCTCATTTGTAAAATAACGACTCAACCAAAAAATTCAAGCAATACCTCATCTGATCACGGGCTACAAGGTAGGCTACCTTAGAAGTTTCAGAATTGTTCAAAAATTTAACAACATTTTTGAAGTAATTAATGTTTTTCTCAGCTAAATAATGTAAGTAAGCTGAGAAAACTTCAGGACATATACTTCGAAGTATCCTCTACAAACTGGAAACGATTGACGAAAAAATTCAAAACTTGAAAATATCGCTGGTTTTTGGCTCAGCGAAGAGTTTTTCACCTCTCCTTACGACTAGTTTCGCTCGGAGCAAGCATTTTGAAGCAAAATAAAACTCTGGATACAAAAGTTGTTCAGAATCGAACTCCAGAGTCCCTCACGAGAGCTTCTTTTAAAATTTTCGGATTTTGGTTTTTAAATTAAATTTCACGGTTTTTAAAATTTTAAAATTTCATATTTTTCAATTTAAAAACCAAAAAAAGAAAATTTTAAAAGAAGCGCTCTTGAGGGACTCTGGAGTCTGGTTCTGAATAACGTTTCTATCCAGAGTTTTGCTTCAAAATGTTTGCTTCGAGCGAAACTAAGTAAGACTTTTTTCAAATACTTTTAGCTCTAAAATTTCTTCGGGAAGATGAAAGTTAAATTTCTGTATCAAACTACATTTGGGAACGATGGAAATTTTTTCTCCTTATACAAGTTAATGTTCTCTATCGAACTACGCTTGAATCAACTCTTCATATCAAAAACTGAAGTTTTTACTGAAATTTTAAAAATAGGGCAGAAAACCCGAAAAAAACTGCAATATTTTTTAATCAACAACTACAAATCCAGGAACCGAAAGCTTTGTTGAGACATATACTCCGAAGTGTTGTTGAGACATATACTGATGAGAAAAACCGGGCAGCGGGGGCACCCTCTTAAGTTTCATTTCAGATGTTTGAAGAAATTGTGTATACCTATTGAAATCTGTTAAGATATTGAATATAAAGCATTGATCCACATTTTTCATAGTTTTTACATTATAAATTCTGTTTTAAGTAGGTTTTGTGAAAACTTTATAGAAATTATGAAATGATTAATTCACACTGTACTTACTGATCAAAATGCTGACAGATTTGTCTGTTTTTTTTCCCAATCTAGGAAGAATCATGATGTGATAATTAAAATGTTAAAAATATTTTTTTTCACTATATTTTTAAGACAGATTCGAACATAGTAAATTTGAAGTATACGACGAGCAAAATTCACACCAAGTCATATTGTCAAAATAATATTGAAGACAGAAAACAGAAGTGTTATGTTGTATTGAGCTCCGATTGATTGACGCTATTAAATGTTTGTAGAAAAAGGGTTAAAGACAAGACATTCAAGAGTAAAACATATTTTTCTTCTGTGAGCTGTACCGTTAATGAATGTCAATGAAGAAAAAAAATAAAATGATTTTTTTTATGTAGAATCATATTTACGATAAATCATTTAAAGGAGATATTATTCCCCAAAGTCTTTTGGATGCAGAAATTCAAAGATAATGAATGAAATATCATTAACGTGTTCATTAAAAAAGAAAAGAAAGTTACTTGTTAATTGAACAGGTTGACCAATACTATTACAGAGAAACAATTATAAAAACAACTACAAAAAAATATTGTTATGTGATTTTTTTTCTTATGTGTGAAGTTCACAATTCTTGTTCGTACGACATATAATCTATTGGCACTTCGATTATCTATACAATAATTTCAATAACATCATATTAATTAATTATTCACAAAATATCATACTGAAAACAACTATAAATAACAGCATACATTGCTTCTGTAATTTTTTTTAAAGTTTATTTAGTTTAGCATAATGTTTTCTCTAATCTCGTTCAATAGATAACGCTAATTTTCGATCGTACATTTTCCAGGATAATGACAAATTGTTGAGTTGCATTTTTCATGCGTATTACACACAGATATTTGTTAAAAAATTCAAAATGTACTGGAAAGTGATTGAATTGAATCGATTAACTGTGGTCGCTAAAAAAAGAAGTTTTTAAATGATATTTAATAATTGTATAAAAACTTTAATAATATTCTACTTACTCTCTTGCAATATTCAATAAAATCTTCCGCTGTTATTTGCTCTACTTGTAATGGGTCAACATGCTTAAATAAACAAAAATATGTAAATCATTTTTTCAGATTTAAAAACCATATACTTCAAATATTTCGTCGATATGTTTTTGTATATCACTTTCTTGCACTCTTGGTTGAACCGTAGGTCCAATTAAATCGTATAATGAACGTATAATATCAGCAAAACTCTGTATATTTGATGAAGAAAAAAAAAATGAACATTAGAAAATAAATAGAAATGATCGATCTACCTCTCTTGACAATTGTCCATCGCCAGTAATATCATAAAATCGAAATATCCATCTTAATTTATCATCTACAGTTCCTCGACACAGTACAGATAAAGTTAAAATATAATCCTAAAAATAACTTATAATTGAATAAATAAAAATAATATTTATTGAAAATCTATTTACGTCAAATGTAAAAGTTCCTTTATGATTTCTGTCCATAATTGAAAATAAATAATGTGAATATTTAATTGGACCTATTTAAAAAAGCGTGATCTATTATTAATTATGTATAAAAACAATGAAAATGATTACTCACTTCCTTGTGGAAAAAATTGTGAATAAATTTCTCGTAAACGTTCTTCGCTAACACTCCCACTCGGACATTCCTAAAAAATTCGATTATCATCTTTAGCAATTAGATAAAAGAAAATAATCTTGAGAAAGAATGATATTTAGTCATTTACTTGTTTAAAACCTCGGTATAATAATCGAATTTCTGATTTGCTAAATTTTGTGCATTTAATCATATCGTCCAAACTACGAGGATGCTGAAGAACTTTACATATCACTGGATCTAAACGAGTCTCTAAATCAAAACTTGAACAGAGTTAGCACTAGTGCACTATTAATCTCTACTATGCATGATCAACAAAATACACATAAAAAATATATCAAAATTATGACAAAAATGCGCATGTTTAAAACGATGACAGATCTGTTTATCTTGTTTAATATTGAAAAATTTAAATTTTAAATTTTAAATTTCAAATAAAAAAAAGGTTTTTCTAGAATTATAACCAAACAAATTTCAACGCTGTTAACAATTTCTACGACAAATATGCAAGAGTCTGAATATGGAGTGAACCTTGGAAGAGATGTAAAACTTTTTTGGGGAGTATAAGAAAAACATTTTTTCGGTACACGACCAAAAAAACAAAAAGTTTTTTAGTTCCGCTGGAAGAAAACGAAAAACTTTTATTTTCGGTGGGAAAGGACTTTCAAATCCAGGTCTCTGCAAATACGTACGAATGTATGAAAATGTACCATAAATGTTATATAATGAGCAAAAACTAAGTACACGTTTTAGAAGGTACTAATGTGTGACAATCGTACATTCTGTCTAGATACAACACAGTTCTCTGACCTTTAGTTTTGCGGCAGAAAGAGTAAATTTATTAAAAATCAACGGAAATTATCAAAAAACAACGGAAATTTGATTTTGTCCACTAAGCATTTTGGGAAAATGCATACTGAATAAAAAAGCATTGAGCTTTTAACATTTTGAATTTCAAAATTTGGAATAGCACACATGTTGTTTCTCTTCGAAAGTAAAAATCTTGAGGCCATAAAAGCTGCTTCCTATCTTTCGGTTATTGTTTTATGTTGCATTTTTCTAAATATCATATGTTTTCTTTTTTTTTATAGATTCTTTTCTATGTTGCTTAACTTGCCATCTATACGTAGAAAATCCTATCTCTATTGGATTCCTAATAGTCACAGATGTTTCTATTATCTTCTTCCTTGATAGAAATGTTTAAACTAAAACAGTTCGATTTTGAAAATATTATAAGAATTATTACGTTTTGGTCTGAAGCTATTGTGTAAAACTGGGAATTTTTAGGCATCTCAATCAATCTTTAACAGGTTGCATTGTCAGAAAATTCTAATTCTGAGTGAAAGATAGAACAACGATAAAATGTCTATCTGGATTTTCCGATATTTTGTAAAACCAAAAGAAGCTGTTTTCGACCAGAAAGTTTACCATTTTAAGTCATTCCATATTTTTTATATAGTTATTCATTTTTTCATTTTGTAATAAAGTACTCAACATAGTTTTTTTGTCGAGAAGTTCAAGGTACATTCTTGTGGATAAACTACCCCGACCTGAGGCGCAAGCTGTTCACAAGTTATATCAAAACTATTGAGAGACTCGGTTATTGTGAAGAGTCTTCAGTACACAAAAAGAACGGCGTAGATTTAAATATAGTACGAGATATAATACATTTTTTTTATCGAATTGGCCATATCTGGGAAAAGAAAGTAGTTCTTTCTGTCGTGTTAAATGCTTAAAATATATGTGAAACGTGTTAATACATCCTATCCGATGAAAAATAAAAGTTTGCTACCTAAACCCATATTATACTGTATTTCTTTTTTGTTCTTGTATTAAAAGATTGTATGAAATATATATATTACAGTAGAAATTGAAACTTAGTAGGATTTCCAGGGATGTGGCGATTACGGGGTGCGGGGGTGTGTGCACCCTCCCCCTTTTTTTTTGATTGAAGCGAAAATATGGAAAATTAGAACAACTATTCGATAATATTATAACATTATAAACTAAAATACGAATAAATGATCTTTCTGTAGATTGATGCATTAGATTATGTTGAGAAGATTATATGCATAGG